AAAAAAAAAAAATAACACGGAACCAATTATTTTTAAAACATTAAAAGCAACAAATTTTTGGGGTAGAAACCACTCTTGAATTTTAAGCAAAATTTTTGCAAAAAATATAATTATTATTAAGGAAATTATGAAATTCTTCTCTCATTCTTATTAGCCGACGTCATCCTACTTCCTTCACCTCATTCTATATTTTCTATTACCTCTCCATCTTCTATAGCATCTTGACCTTTGAACGCATCTTCTACAAGAGCTCCGGTATTATATTTACCTACACATCAACAATATCGACAAACATTATCTACAAGCAGCATCCATACACCTGGATCAACGGAGAACTGTGATATGACCATTATTGCCGATGTGACTTTCCAGCAGCGTCTGTGACCTAAACAACCATCTACGTGTTGCAAACATGTAGATCACTCTGTGAACCGAAATAATAGTCTTCAATATTAATATAATTCCTATAATATTTCATTGGTTAGGAGATTAGGAAGATAAGTAGCACACTTAACAAAGACATTAACAATCTTACTAATTGCAATTACTTGGCTGTCTGCGAAAATATAAGCATTCTAGTTAAAGCAAACAATTAACATGGTATCAGCTAATTAACAAATTAGTTTGTCATTATCAGTATGTACACAGAGTAAGAAAATTGATAAATAACTTTAACACCTCCTCCTGCTATCATCATCAGTCTACGGTCACTGCTTTTCAGCAATTGGATCCGCCTTATCATTTAGCACCAACTCCGATAAAGCGTCTTCTATAAATAACAAATAAATAAATAAAAAATGTACGAAATGAAACAAATATTGGTAAACGGACATGTTTTCGCCGCCTGAGGATTTCCCAATTTTAGTACGACCTCATCAGCGATATCTTCTGATTTATTTAATCGCAATCGAGAGACCAAATAAGAAAAAAAAACATAGCATGAGATTTTGAAATAGCCTCTGCTTTTTATCAAGTTATTATTAGAATATTATAAATTTAAGTGTTACGGTTGTAGTAATAAACAGCTGTGGTTTATAAGGTTTTTTTGTTTATGTTTTAAAGGATGTTGTGGAGCTATGCAATAAAGCTAAGAGTCGCAGTTAATGAAAAGTATAATATAAGCAGATATTCATCTTACAATTTACGTAAAAATGATAGCCTGATCAAGTATAACGCAGTAAACTTTGATCCTTAATCTGATAGATCCTTAATATTATTTACAATAACATCATTTATTTTATTAATAGTAAAATTTTAATAATAATTATTGTTGCAATATTGAAAATACATAAAAGTAAATTAAAATAAAATTTCTGTAATACCAAGCATAATGTTTTCTTTAATATCACACTGTTTGAAACCGGACTAATCGAGTACTTGAGACTTAATCGTCTAGTGGAAAAAACGAACATTTCTGTAGACATTTATGTATAGTTATGTAATTTTCGTATAGAAATAATAATGGTGCGAAGACACTATACATCTTACAATTCAAATTACGCATGCGCAACTTTATCACGCCTTCTCTTACGGTGTAGGTGGATGTGTACTCACCATTATTATACAATTACTTCAGTTTTTTTTTGATATAATATATTGCATTAATTTGAAACTTTGTCCATAAAAAACAATAATGACGCCATCATACATCTCATAAGTAAAGTTGCACCTTCTGATACAGTATACGGAAGATGTGTACGCACGACATGGCTTATCTGTCAAAAGTTGTAGCATTATTACTACGTTATTTGATATTAAATAACTTATTTTTTATTATTATATGACGTATGTTCTTACAGAAATATTTAGGTCAGCGAGATTGAATATATTTCGGCCAATTTATCTAAATATTATCCCAAACTGCCACGTGAAATAATAAAAAAAAATAAACAATGTAAAATTATTAGATTTTCTCGAAACTAGCATATAAAAGAAAATTGATTAATGCTTTAACATTCAATGGGATAATGACGCAACAGGTGAATTTATCGTCATTTCTCGTAATGTTTCTTGTTTAATTGTTTCCTTATCGCTGCGATAAATTGATTCTGTCAAAAACTATTGCACTATTATTATTTTATATGTTTCAACTAATTTTCGTTCGTTATTTGTTTGATCCCATTTGAGGTCAGACTTCCATCAATCATTGGATATTCGATAAAGTGATAATAAAAAATCGTGTATGGAATAGTGGGGTAATAATATATAACGAATTGAACTTGACCAACATGTGCCAGTTCTGGACCAGACGATATTCTCCTTAGAGGAACAACGATACAGGATGTTCAAGAAGATCGTCTTTCTCTTTTCCTTAACGGCTGTAATTGCCGCTCTGCCGGACACCGAACTTGTGCAAGTCCACACAGTAAGTGCAAATAATCTATCTATTAATTATTTAATAATTAATGGTCTTTTGTTGCTTGTTAATTTCTAATTAATTTGATATTAGTAGTTTCTTTAACTAACCGATTTTTCTTTAATACCGGTTTTTTAAATAACTTTATAAATGTTAATAACCGATATTTAAATTGAAATCATCGTTTTTTTTATAAGTAAAATTTTAATACTGATTTAATTTTAAAAAAATCATTAAACATTAATTAACCAACTATTTGCAAATCTCTAAACTATAAAACCAAAACCGAAAAATATAATAATCTATTTTTCTTGGTATAAATATGTTCAGTTAATTTTTATATGTAGTAAATATAGAAAAAAACTGAAAATATTTAAGAAAAAATCATCATAAATATGTTTTATTTGGACAGATTTATTTATTCTTCTATTCTCTTTATTAATATTATGTATAAATATATAAGTATAATTATGTTATTTCCATTGGTTAACAATTAGTTATGTCTATGAATTAGAATAACCGGTATTTTAATAAAATTCGGTTCTTTATCCATTATTAATAGTAATGAAATTATTTACAGATATTTCGTCATGGAGAGAGGACGACGTACAAATTCTATCCGAATGATCCGAACATTAACGACACCTTCTATCCCGTGGGAATGGGAGGCTTGACGAATGTAATTTGAGTAAAAAAACAAACAAATATATCCTTATGCGCTTCAATTTTGCATCCTTTATTGAATAGAACGGTAAAATGGGAGAATACAAATTGGGACAGTTTCTGAGGAAAATGTACAATGATTTCCTTGGGGAACATTACGTCGATGGTATTCTAGAAGCCAGGAGCACATTCACAGCGAGGACTCTGATGAGTGCCCAATTAGTACTAGCCGGTCTATTTCCACCAGAAAAAACGCAACTTTGGAATAAGGATTTGCCTTGGCAACCAATCCCAGTTTTCAGCAGATTGAAATCTGAGGAAGACGTGAGTTAATCATTAAGTAACTTGTAACAAAAACTAATCATCCATTGATTAAACAGCTAATGCATCCAGACAATTGCGAACTTAAGAAGATGATCATGCAGAATCTACCAAATCGTCCAGAGATTCAAAACGTCTTCATTAAACCTCACAAGAAACTCTTCGAATTCATCGAGCGCAATTCGGGAATGCCGATTCGCAATCTGGAAGATCTCATCGAGTTCTATTTCATCGTCAACACAGAAGTAAGTTAACCGAGGGAATTCCTTGCGTTATTTCCACTCACGTTTATCGGAAATTCTATTTATAAACCACGCATGGAAATCCCCTTGATTAAAATATTTTATTTCCAGGATGATTTGAAACTGCCGATGCCTGAATGGGTTGGCCAAGTTTACCCAGAACCATTGTACAGCACCGCAGCCCTTCAATACAGCTACGCCAACGCTAATTTAGACCTTAAACGCATCAACGCCGGGTATTTGCTGAAGAAGATCCTCGACGACTCCAAAGAAAAAATTGCTAACGAGTCCAGTAACAAGAATGTTAAGATGTACTTATACTCAGGACACGAATCCACCATCGGCTTCATGTTGTACTCCTTAAAAGTCCTGAAAACGCATATTCCGCCTTATGGAAGCGCAATTATTTTCGAGCTCCGAAAGGATAGCGCAGATAACTATTACATTCAGGTAATTAAATTACGTTATTTCATTATCGTTTGGTGTCAAACACCTTCCTGTTAAACAGCTCGAAGGCCGAACTGCGGTTAGCTCAACAAATAAGTGTTGCAATTGCTAACGTTTTATTACAATCATTGGATTCTAAAAATACTTAACAATTACTAATTTCGTGTCTTCTTTCTGGCTATTTTTAGATGAGGTATAGGAATAAGACCGATGCAACCGTCGCTCAAGATTTGGTGATTCCGGGTTGTGCAAGTCTTTGTCCGATCGATCAATTCATTGACCTGCAGAAGGCCTTGCTTCCAGTTGTCAGTATTGCCGAGGCCTGCGAGATTACGCAAGCAGATGCCGCTATTTATTTATGAACCATATAAAATCTCACCCGTAAATCACTCATTTTCTTACAATCATCGTAAAAAATTATATTTATTCATTAGTTAATTAACCAGTTAATAATTATTTTAATATCCAGTATCTACTTAGTTATAACACCTGCAATTAATAGTCATATACAAACAATTGTAAATAAAAAAAATTGTATCGAAAAGATTTGCTTTTTTATACTGAGATACAAACTGCATCTATTTCTTAATAACCTTGGAAACCGTAAATCTGGAATGACGCAGGCTACATGAACTAACCTGCATAATTGAAAAGTGCGATTAAAGTAATAACGTCTTCGTTGAAATTACTCGTTTTAATGTTCCACACTTCCTGTTTAACTACGTTGATTTATACCTAAAAATGGTAATAACAAGCAATTATAATATACTCTTCATTATTTTATTTTGCATATCTCGGGTACTTGTTTAAAGTAAATCTATCTATAACTACGTAATATTCATTAGAAACGAAGGATACCACTGCCTCGATCTTTTAAACAAATACTAGTGAATGCAGGATTAAATTAAAGACATAATTGTTAATTAGTTGATTATGATTGATTATTTCAATTCTAAAATTAGACACAGTTGATAATCGACGAATCTAATTAATCGATTATAAATTATTATTTCATTATAATTGATTTATTTTATTTAAAATTGAACAAAATAAATTATTAATTATATTTTCTATTAAAAAATAATAAGAATTAAAAAAAGAGGTAAAATTTTAAAGTTTAAATTGAGAACAATGTATTGAATATAATAAATTGTTGATTGAAATTGAAGTGATTGAAAAAATTATTAGTTAAAGTTTTTCTAAGCACTTTTATTTCATTCTGTTATATAAATATTTGTTAATGTGTTAAGATTATATAAATGTGTTTAAGAAGTATCAACGAAAGAAGTTAAAGGATGTACATTTCCAAATGATTAATAAAATCGAAACAATATATCTAAAGGAAATTTTCTTTATAAATAAATATTCTTATCAAATATATAAACTTGAAAAAATTTAAAGGAATTATACTGATTTATAAAATGTATTTTGTGATATTTTTAGTACCAGTTATTTTCCGGAATAATAGACTTGTACTGATAACTATGATCAAGAAAAGTGCTTAAAATAATAAATCATCTATATATTGTATCATTATAGGTATACTTTTTTTTTCAGGTAGATTAAAACAAATTAAAGATAAAGCTTAATCTGAAACTAGAAAGACAAAATCAACAAAAGTAGAAACTATAGAAATATTATGTAATAACTTCAATATATATTTGATAAAATTTATAAAGAATTTTTCAGAAAATAAAAAAAAGATTATAATAGTAAATGTGAAGAAATTAGTAGAAATTAACCAGACACAATCTTATCTGCAAGTAAAAGTTAGGCAAGAATCTTTCACTTATAACTATGAACAAGAAATATACTTAAAATCTACTTTAATCATCTACGTATCATATCATTATAGGAAAACTATTTTTCATGTAGATTCAAGATAAAGCTTAATTTGAAAATAAAGATCTGGTGTTTCTGAAAGTATTCACTGGACGAAAACAATAAACGAAGATTTATTTTATGTAAGAGTGAAACATAACTTACTTTATACAAATATTATGAAATTAATTATTAGTTTTCGATGTAAAATTTGATAAAATGTATTTTAAAATATCCAAGGAAATTTTTAGAAAAAAAAAGATGATAATAGTAAATGAGAACAAATTAGTACAAATTGACCAGATATTATCTTATCTGCAAGTAAAAATAGGCAAGATCTACAAATTTTAAATTGAAACACTTATATGCAAATGCAAATAAAGAAAAACAGGAAAGAACACATTCAAGCAATTTGAGAACATCTAGATAAAAGATTAGAAATTGTTGTTCGTTTCTAAGAAATAAGCAAAAACTATTATTGGAAAATTAATTGCTATGAAAAAAACTTAAAAGTTTATGTAATTTATATCAACCTTCAGAAACCTATATTAATTTTATAACAAATAATTAAATTGTAAGTAAGATAATAACAAAAACACAGCTTTAATAATTATGTTACAATAATTAATTAGATTATGTTATTGACAAAATAATGATGATATTGATAATTATAAAATAATTACATAAGATTCTAGCTTCTAAATAAATCTTTTATATTACTTCAACAAATATATATGCTTTTTTCTAATATAAATAATATCATAGATGAAATGTGTTTGATACGCATACATTGCATGTGAAATTAGAGTTAGAAAGTTCCGCTAAGACTTGGAGGTCATTTATCAATGTTATATTATTTGAAGGAAGTTCAAGTTCCACCTACCTGCAATAAAGTAGGCAATCCCAACAATACATATGTAAATAATATTTTATTTATTATGTATACAAATCAATACCAAGCACTTTACAAAATTGAAGGTGAAAAATCATTTTTTAAACTTAACATTAAGTGGAACTGCAGGTGTGAATCAAGGTGATATTTGTCTTTTTGCTTAAAGAAGAAAAATTATATTTTTTTTCAAAACATAAAACCTTAATAACAAAGTTTCGTAATGTAACAAAAACTGGTTTTAATTAAATTATAAACAAGAGTAATTTAATCGCATCATAATTATTATTTATTTGAACCTAGTGTTGTTATTATTTCTTAATTGGATTATCATCATCAATTAATTATTTTTTACTAAAAACAACGTAAATAGGTTATCGTAATTTGATGTATATTTTCTTAAATTGTACCGTTTTTGAATGTTTAATTTGTTTTTCACACTACTTTCTCTTGCGTGTATTGATATGCATATTTGTTGTTAATGAGAAGATAATAAACATTTACCTTCTTCGTGTTCTTGAAAAATGTATATATATATATATATATATTAAAAAGCAAATTAACAAAAACCTGTTAAGATAATTTTTGTTGATAATTTACATTTAGAAAAAAAAACGAATATTTGTTTAAAATATTATGGAATTCCA